TAAAATAAGATAATATTAACATATTTAAATAAAAAATAATAAAATTAAAAATTTACTATCTAATTTGTAAATCCCTCATCAAATCCTTAGGTTAATAGATTTCATAATCTGTAATTCTATAAAGAAGCACATAATAATGACTTAATTTTTATTATTATAAGAAACAACTTTGACTATTTTTAGTTTTTTTATGGGAATCATTTTGTATATGATGGCAAAACAATTGTCTAATCATTTGTCTTGTTTTCTTTCTTTGATTTAAAATGTCCAAAGTAGCTGCACTTCCTTTTATAAAAATATTTTTATTTTGTATTTAATTCGTCTCCTTTGTGCCCTGATGAGGCCTTCACACTGAGGATGCAGATGTTGAGGCCTAACAATCAAGGGCAGAATTAGGATGTACCATTGCGTGGGGTCTATTAATTTTTTGTATAATATATTCTTTTAATGAGTAAGATTTATATATAAGAAATTTTAACCTTATAAATTTTTTATGAGAGAAGGGTAACATCTATGTTTAATCCTCCAAGAAGGGTAACATCTATGTTTAATCCTCCACAACATGGATCTGCCATTGCTAACAATTCCTATGTACGAGGGATTTTTCTCCTTTTTTTATTTAATTTATGTGTACTATTCTTAAATTATCGAATCTGCACTAGTATTTACTATTCATACATAAAAAATTCTCTCATCTATTTCTTGTAAATTTAATAAAATTACACACAATTTAATTTTTGAGAGTGATTACTTTTGTTAATGTAACAAGTTCTGATCTTATTTCTTAAAAAATCATTTTTAGTAACCAAATTATTAGTTGAGATTTAACCAAACATTATGTTATATTTTGTTTATATAGAACTATAGTTAAAACAAGATAAGGATTAGTTACTGGCATAATGAGATAATATAATTCATCTTATTTTTATATAGTTAGAGAAGATAAGAATTAGTGGTGGCATAATAAGGATAAAAAAATATTCTAAATCCATCATTTCTTAAAATTATAATCAAGAATTAAAAAAACAATGAAG